TGTGTAGTCTATGCCTTGATCCATTTTGATACGGCCAGTATTTTGGTTAGCCTTACTTCTTCTGTTCTTATGTCCGTTGCGAAAAACGCTACCGTATTTCCGTTGTTTAGTCTCAAGCGCGGGCTGAGTCTCGAGGGGACGGAAGGCGGGTAGCGGGAGCCTCCTAGGGGCTGAGAGTTAGGGATTTGAGGCTGGGTGAGGGGGTGTCGTTTATTATTACTTATATGTGTCGAACCTGTGTCGCTCGAGCATGTTTGGTAGTTCATGAAAACCGTGATTTCCAGCGGGCCCCGCTCCGGGGAGGATTTCCGTGAACAATTGGTGAATCCCGGTTATTTTGTGTCTGTAGATAGGGGAGGGTTGTTTTGGATGGTTAAATTGGAAATTTTTGGGAAGGGTTTGGTCTTAATCGGTGTGGGATTATTTGTGACGCAGTTGTACTAGATGTGTGTGAATGTCTTCATGAAATGGGAATTGGGGGTTTTCGTGAAGTTAAGCCTGTATGGCGCCAACACTGCGCTTGGTGTGTATGATTATTTGGCCTATAGTAAGAAAGGTTCCTGCGCGATGTCCGTTCGTCAGGGGAATAGCTTTTGGGTATTTTGTTGAACGCACAGTAGATTGTATTGTTTTGTCTCTGGTTTCTTTGATTTGTTGTGCATTTTTTAGGGTGATTTTGTTGGATTGGAAACCGCCGTGCAATGGGTTTTGAATGTTATGTATGATGTAATTTGTATTACTTTCCGCGGTATTAGACAACTGGACATTTTGACCTCGTAAGATATCGTCACTCGAGTCGACACACTTGACGACTCACTACATCAGAACTGTGACGGCTCACGCACGCTATGAACATGCCCCGTAATTCTAAATTTTGTCAAAGACAGTGCGTTTGGTTACTTGAATTTGGAAACATTGGTTCGAACTTTCCGGAGTTCGTTTCGTGTATCTTTGGCTATGTTCTATATGGATCATCTCTATTTTCTCTTCCCTATTTCCCCCTTTGGGGCTTATCTGAGTTCTTGTCCTAGTCAGTCGATATATCTTTACTTCTCTAGATCTTTAACGTTCTTCTCTTCTCGTCTCTTCTCACATCTTACATTCGTGTTCTGGTTCCTCGACTGTGTGACTCATCGTCATCTCTCTCCCATTTCATCTCTCGATCGCTTGCTTCTACTTCTTCTCTACTTCTCTCTTCTCTGTCTCTTCTCTTTCGCGTTCTTCTCTCTCGTCTCTTCCTCTTGCTCTCTCTTGCTTCGATCTCATCTCTCTCTGCGTTCTTCTTCTATTTCCATAATCCTTACTGTTCATTTTAGCCTGTTATGTCTTCCAACTCTATAGTCTCCTTATAATCTCACATCCTTCTACTCCTCTCTTTCCTTATATAATAGCCCAAACAACTAAATCCACCTATCCATGTGGCGTAACGTTTATCTACACGCCATGTAAGTATGGTGACATACGTAATAAGAGCTCAGAATTCGATCCGTTTGCCAGCGAGATTGGTTTGGAACCCTGATTATATACTATTGGTGGGAAAAACCTTCACGCTCGGTCGAAGTCTATTGTTCTGTACAACTACTCAAGCTCTCGGTCCGTAGGTTAGTGGACATTACACAAAGTCGACCACCTCCTCGTTTGAGTCGCCAAGTCTCATCTGGTACTATCCGAGCTCAACTTTTTACGTCGATACTTTTAGTGGGGGTAATAACGGTTCATAAATGATGATCTAGTACATCACACACCGGAACGCGGTTCGCTTGGGAGGTCCTTATATGTGAAGTCGTATTCGTTGTTCAGCCTTCACAAAAAATTATTTGATATGACTTGAGAGTAACTAAGATGAGGCATCCCACTCATATAAATACAGCTCCGTTCAGATCTGGTCTTGTCTGGTACATAGGTACGCTGTGTTTGTGTCCTCGTTTTGTTCTTGGTTTAAATTAGGCTCACTCCCTCTACTTACCATGAGTATCTATTTTCATTCTCTCTGATACCCAAACACAGTGCCATATGCGGCTCCTCTTCTTTCCTTATTTATCTGCATTTGATTCTATTTTCACGTTTTATTGAATTGCTTCTGGTTCTCTCTACTACACTTTCTCTGTTCCTCTCCCTCTCTTTCTCTCTCTCTCTGTAAGTTCATACTTATCGTCAATATTGTGTTCGGCGGTTCAGACACAGGCATGCTCCCTCTAACCGCCGACAAGCCAACGGGGCTCTTTAAACTATTACATAACAAGGCAAACACATATAAAAAATCAATATAAAAGCAAAGAGCCAAACAGTGATGGGATCATAGGTCACGAATGATATCTCCTAAATGTAATAGATGTTTAGCGACCTAGACTCAGGTCCGAAGGGTTTTGTAGGTGGTTAGTGGTTGTCGTTTGGTGAATGGGCTAGCATTTCGTTACAATATTTTGTCTCTTACTTGACGTTTTCGATTGGCTTGTTCCCGCGAACACAGGAAGCGTCTGAAATTAACCCTTCTCATCCTCTGAAAACCCCAGGTTATCACTTTATCCGTGGGTGTCGGGTCTACGCCTGTTTGCCTCGTCTAACCGCTTGGCAGAGCGCGTAGATACGTACCTTTCCTCCACCCTCTCCTCCGTCTCCCATTTCGGCCCTCTCCTCCTTGACCGAGAGGTTTTCGGGTATGAACTACGCGAATTCTTATCTCCTCGCGGCGCTGCTCGGGCCGGTTGGTATGTGTTGCGAGGCACCCCACCACCCGGTCCAGGACTCGGCTTGTTCTCTGTAGTTGATTTAACCTTTGAGGTCACCACATGTTTGTGTTTGTTGTCTCTTTCCGTTGATCGGTATTGAGAACCACGATGCGAGAGAGTGCTAATTAACGGATGTGTCGCTGGTACAGCAGACCTCGCGATCTGTCGGAGCTCTTAGACGTACTCGGCATGGCAGGATCCGTTGGTGTATTTACCTGCTGGAGCTCATGTTATCACGCAACCCCGTCTCTCCCGTCTTACGTGCTTCCCTTTCGTGCTTTTTCGCCCCCTTTCCGAGTACCCTGATTCCCTTGTCCTCTCCTCATTCTATTCCCAGCTCTCTTCCTCCTCCTCCCTTCAGCTTCTTATCTTCATTCCTTCTCTTCTCCTTCTCCTTCTCCTTCCCTCCCTGAGTAACAATTGTAAACAGATTAGAGTTGCTATCTATCTTCATGTCCTCATTATCCGATAGCGTTAATCTTTTCCTCCATTGCTATCAGCTGTATGCGATCTTACTGGTAATCGCCACGTTACAAATTCCGAAAATATGTTCAAAGGAGACTCGCCGGCTCCCACGTATGTTTGTGTTCTGGGACACGAGATAAAGTCTAGGTTTATTGTTCGATGACTGTCTAGTGTAAAGTTAGGGAAACGATTTTGTTTGTGGTGTTTAATTAACCTTCTGTTTTGAAAATTTATTCTCGGTTGTTCATCGTTGAATTGTTCCTTAATTATACTTTAATAAGCTAATTAACATATGGACAGCGCTAACTACAGGCCTGATTAAGTCAGGTGTATCTCATTATTATAATGTGACAGTTGACAAATTAGATGTCATTATCTTGAAATGGAGACTGATCTCTTTGAAAGACATGATGCAAAACTAACCTGGCACACACATCTAATCATATGATTAGATATCTGCTTATTTATGTTGACACTTGCGAATGCAATTGTTGCTAAATCATTGCCAACTTTAATGGAAAACCAAGATTTGTAGTGGAGAATATATTGTATGAATAATAAGTTTAAATATGATATTATGAATAAGTGAATTGAAAAATAAATTGAAATATTGTATTATGATACAAACGGTCGTCACATTAGAACTCTGTATTTACCATTAACCACAAGAGGTACTAACACATTTAACAAAGAAACAGTTACGCAGGTGTGAGGACCCCATCGCCAGTACACTTTGGTCGCAGCTCCCTCCCCGTTGTCTAAGCAGCGGCACCGCTATGTCCCTTGGCTCGCCCCCTGGGTCTCGGCACCGTCGCAAAGCCTCTCCTTTGTGTCTTTCCCATGGCTGAGGGACTCCGGTTCCGTTTGTCTGTTGTCTGGTTGTCACGCGTTCTCGAGGCAGACACCTCCGTGACAGACAGAAGCTCCTTTGGGTGTTTTACTTTTCTCTGAAATGGAAACGGTTCGGGGATCGAAAGAGAAGGCTTCCTCTGCTTGTTTCCCCTCCACGGGACTGGAAACCCCGGGAACTTTTTATTTGCCCGGGGATGTGTGTGTGTGATGGAAGGAACAAGTACAGCGAAGCCTGGTTTATATAAGCTTTCCCTTAGGGTTGTGGATGCAGGCCAAACGCTCTGACGAGGAAGTGGAAAACTCCAGACACTGCCTTGGGTGTTTGTACTGAGCGTTTTTGGAATGCCTGAGGCAAAATATTGAAGCAAATCTCAAGTAATATTTTTCCATCGCTATTGCAGCTCTGGTGTCAGGAGAATCTGAAAATACTGGTCCTAATGGATAAACAAAAGCGTATTGTAGTTACCGAGAGAAAAGCCGATAAGGAGTACTACTTATTTGCACGATAGATCAACACAGGGAAGAAAGACTTTGTTGCGCGATTTTGAAATGCAAGACATAACTTGGTGTAAAGATTGTGCCTAGACTCATGCATAAAAGATCTGTATCACAAGGTAAAATAGTTTTTTTATTGTGCCTTGACTCATGCAGAAAAGGACTGTATCACAAGGGAAAAAATATATATTTTTATTGTGCCTTGACTAATGCATAAAAGAACTGTATCACAAGGTAAAATAGTTATTTGTTATTGTGCCTTGACTCATGCATAAAAGACCTGTAGCACAAGGGAAAATAATTTGTTTTAATTGTGCCTTGGCTAATGCATAAAAAGAACTGTAGCACAAGGTGGAAATAATTTATTTAATTGTGTCTTGACTAATGCATCAAAAACTTGCACTCTGCATAAATACCTTTTGAATTGTGCCTCGACTAACCACCGCGTTCCTCCCACAGCAACTGGACTCCGGGTACGTGATCATGCCCGGGTGGGGCGGGCCGGCAGACTCCAGCACCGACGGGGACGACGACGACCCCAGCCTGGACTACCTGGACGCCCGACCCGGGGTACTGCCCGCGCCCTCGGGCATCGTCTTCGAGGGCGAGGCCGTCATCATCAACGGCAGGAGCAACTTGCAGCGACAGCCCAAGACCAAGAAGGTAAGCCCTGCGTCGGGTCCGTGGCGCCCGCTCGACGCTCCGCCGGCTCAGGCTGCGTGAGGCGAGGGAAGACTAGGTGGGGTTAGGTTAGGTTAAATTAGAATAAATTTGGTTGGGTTAGATGAGATTAGATCGGGTTAGGTCAGGTTAATTTAGGTTAGTTTGGGTGAGATTAGATTAGATCGGGTTAGGTCAGGTGAGATTAGATTAGATTGGGTTAGGTCAGGTGAGATGAGATTAGGACGCGGCCTCGGCGAACACAGGTGCCGAGTAAAAGGCATGCATCCTAATGTATGCGGAGCTGTTGATTAAGTTGTGGCTTGCATTGCCAGTGCTCGCTACAGGAGCATAAAGTGGATTAATCTATGGATTAGGAACAGAAATAGCGTCACATTCGTTTGTCTGATTAACTACTAATAATTATTGTTAGGTAGAACAACACATGGTCTTTCCTGAATTTCCTGATGTTTAGGGGATTTAGTGAATGTAATTTCAAGAGTTGTATCACGGTGGCATAATGCGACTGACATGCGCGAGTTCATGTCAAATCGGGAATCGTTGTCATGTAGGAATAATGTTGATTTTTGATGATCTTTTAGGTTGTGTGAGCCGCGCGCGCGCGCGTATGTGTGCGTGCGTGCGTGTGTGTGTATTTGTAATATATGTATGTATGTATATGTAAGTTTTACTGACGGTCTGATTGGTCGAATCCCATTAGAAAAAAAGAAATTAAGAAAAAAATGATCAGTGAAGCTCCCAAGAAGGCAAGCCGAACCCCCCAGTCGCATCCCGTAACGTTTAGCCAATCCCTCACCAGGAAGCCAAAATTCGCCGCTGATGAACTCCACCCATTCATCCACCCAGTATTATCCATCATTCACAAGAGGCCTGTGTAGTAGCCGCCCCGGACAGCATATGTCACCCGCCATCAGCGATCACCCGACGTGGTTGAGCAAGGGAGTCGGATGAAAGCGGATGTCGTTAGGGGGCGCTGACGATCGTTAAGGCGGTTGTTTTGCGTCCAATTACTGCCAGTTTCCTTCGTCGAGGCAAGAAGGAAGCCGGCGCGGAGGGGGGGGGGGGATTCAGGGGATAGGGGTAGGGGGTGAAAGGAGTGGGCGGAGGGGAGGGGGGGGGAGGTTAGACGGTGACAGCTGACACGAAAAGTAAAAGTTTTGGGTGTATTCGCATGGCTCGCTTGTTTACTAGTTCATGCGAGTGGATGGGGTGGCTGGCTCTTGCGAAGGGGGCTAGGGGGGGGGGGCAAGGCGTCAGGGCGTGCACAGGTATACATTTCTGTTTTTTTTTTTTTTTTGTCTTTCTTTCTCCTCCTCTCTCTTTCTCTTCTCTCTCTTCTCTCCTCTCTCTTTCTCTTTCTCCTCTCTCTCTTCTCTCTCTCCTCTCCTCCCTCTCCTCTCCTCTCCTCCTCTCCTCTCTCTCTCCTCTCCTCTCCTCTCCTATCCTATCCTATCCTATCTATCCTTATCCTCTTCTCTCTCTCTTCTCTTCTCTTTTTCCATGCCTATGTATGCATATATACATACACATCGAAATAAACACAATATATTCATAGCTATGACAGCTTTTCGCTTCACTTTATGAGCCCCATTGCAATATCATACCATGGAGCATAAAATTCGGAGGGCCAGTTTTATCGGAGAGGCTGATAAAACCGAGCGTATCAGCAGCTGATAAGGTCACCAGATCCGCATCGAGCTTGTCTGTTGTTTTCCCGAAGCCTTGGCCACAGGCACGAGAGTCGGGACATTGGGGCTTTATGATATTTATGAATGAATTGTAGTTTTGAATGAGAATTCTTCATGGTTCGTGTAGAGGCTGAACTCAGCGTGTGGGTCTTCCTCGCTCCTTCCTTGTTCTTCTCCTTCTTTGTTCTTGTTCTTTTTCTTCGTCTTCTCTTCCTTTTTCTTTTCTTTTCTTCTTTACTTTCCTTCTGCTTCTTCTGGAGCAGTTGCTAATTAGAGGTACTAAACCAATCTCATAAATTTCGTTAATTGGTTGATGATAACCTTCCATAATTAGATGTAACTACATTCAGTGGTCTTTTTTATACTTTTCTTTCATCCATTTTCTTCATTTTTAAGCACATGGCCATTTAATTGTTATATTTTCTTTGGTTTAGATTTTCATATTTTTCCACTTTGCTTTCCACCTTTTCTTCATTTTATTTTTATTTAATGCATTATCATATTTTCATTGGTTCAAATGTTTTTTTTTTTTCTATATTTTCTCTTCCTGTCTGTTTCCTCCTTTTCGCCATTGTGAAACCTCCCTTCTGCTTTATCATAATTTTCTTGTCTTTGATTTTCGTCCCCCCACCCCACCCCCACCCCCCACCCATTCAACACTCAGAATCATGTCTTTTCTAATATAAACTTTCACTGATTAAGATTCTCTGTGCCGTGTGTCTGTGCCTGTTGAATGAACCCTCACGTACTCTCATTTCACACGGCGCTCTCTCATCTCGCCGATTAATGCAGTCCGTGAGCATTCAGCATTGTCATCATTAAACGTCAAGATATCTGAGGCGTGAGAGGGCAGAGGGTGAGGTCTGTGTGCGGGGGGGGGGGGGGGGTGTAGGAATATGTGGTTTTAGGGGAAAGGGAAGGGGAGGAAGGAAGAATGGCTTAGTTCAAAGTGAATGGGGGGAAAAAAGGGGAAAGAGTTTGTGAAGGGACAGGGTTGCATTGGAGGGGAGAGGTGGGAGGGAGAAGGGGGTGAGGAGGCGAGGGGAAGGGGAGAGGAGGCAGGGAAAGGGAGGGGGAGGGCGAGTGGTGTGTGGGACGGAGGTAGGTGCTTGGGAAGGGATGGCAAGGGGAGGTGGAGCTGGAGAAGAAGGGGAGAACATGGAAGGGGAGAGGGAAAATAAATGGGAATCCAGAGGGAGAGGGAAGGGGAAAAGAAGAGAGGAATTCCCCCCAGCAGAATACTGGGGAAGGGGCCGATATATCACAGGAAAAAACACTTACTGGTCTAGTGCATCTCAAAGCGTTGGACTGGCGAGCGCTCGAAGGGAAACTCCTGTTGCCTGGCGTCCAACCTGTCGTCCCGTTATCAGATAACGCAAGGCTCGAATCTCTGTTATCTTAATCCCTTTGATGGAGTGCATTCGAGAGAGAGATAAAGACGGTTGCATTTTTTCCCTCTTCCTGTATCATGAGATCAAAAGAGTTGCTAACGCGGCCAGAGTTTATAAATTGCGTTGTTTTTTTGTGCTTAGATAATGTGTAGGTGAAGTATGAATATGATGGGGATGGAAAGGCATCTGCGTCGCCACTTGAGCATTTATGCCGCATCGGGCCGGGAACATGCTAACTATCCTGTAATGTGCAGACAACTTTTACCAGATTCACTTTCATTCGCAGTCGGATTATTATTATTGTTTTTTCTCTTTTTTTCCTTGGTGAAGCAGACAGTTTTGTAGTCGATGTTTTAATGTAGCACCTGGCAGGTGTCGCAATCGCAGCAGATGTTCAATGGATGGAGCGGCAGCCAGCGAGAGGGAGCGTCTCCCCCTTCGCCTCCCCCCTCCACGCGCGCACTCCTAGGTGTCACGTGTTCGCTGGATTCCCCATGATTGATCGCAACCATGAGGCTCCGGCAGCCAATTTCAGCTCGTGATGGCACAAGTCTTAATTGTCATTACGGAGTGAAATTGCCAGTGATCGTAGCAGACTTTCCCCTTCCAGGTTTCTCTCATATGGAGTGGAAGTGGGCACGTGTTCGTCGTGGCGCTCACGTACAGGCACACACGCAAAAACGCACACACTCCCCCACGCATCGACACGGTGTATTCCGTATTCTATACTACTATTTAGAGGTTTATGTAGCCAAATATTCCACGCAAGTTCCTTTTGTGCCTTGCTCGGTCTTTCAGGCTGGTCTTAGACAGGGAAGAGGCAGTACAGAGTAAATAAGCGGTCTTGCTTTCAGTTTTTTTACGACAGCAAGGTTGGCTCAGCCCAACTGAAAATTACATTGCCATAAGAGCTTCTGAGGTTACAACGGCCGAGCCCGAAGGGAGAGTGAATGTATTCCGTTCCTCGCTTTGGCACGGGGGAAAGTGGGGGTGGTGGTGGGGTTGGTGGAGGTGGGTGGGGGTGGGGAAGGGTAGGAGTGGAGATGGAGTTGGCGGAGGTGGGTGGGGTGGGGAAGAGGTAGAGGTAGGGGGGAGATGGGTTGGTAGAGGTGGGGTGGAGGTAGGTGGGGGCGAGATGGGGGTTGAAGAGGGGATGGAGAGCGGGTTGGGGTGGGGGCGGAGCCTTGTCTGACTGTCACATGCAGAGCCTAGTGTACACGATACTACTCGTTCAATTTACTGCTTTGGCGAGAGCTCCGAACGGGAATTTGTACCTCAAGTCATGGGAGTTTTATCTCGAATGTGGAATCGAACTAATTTATTGACCTTTTTCCTATTCTTATCAAGCACCAGTGTAAGTTTGGTCGTATACACACACCTTCTCGTGTTCTGAATCTTGTTCTGTGTACACATTCTCGCATGCCGTCTTGCGTACGATTTGGACGCGAGACGGCATTCGAAGAATAGCATAAAAAATATCTTGTACACCAGCCATGAGGAATTAACCGAGTCTCCCTTCTCGATTTTTGTCCAGTCTTTCGACATAGAAAACGAGGGTAATATTCGTATTCTAAAGACTTGACATGAAGAATGCTTACAATGGGAATAAGACTTAAAAAGACTACGAAAGAATGAAGTTCGTCATTAATAAGGATGCCAAGTGTTTGGAAGGGTAACAATGTGTGAAACTGCCGACAGTTTGCAAATGGCAGGGGTCTCGCAATTGCGAATAATTTGAGAAGTTGACTGAGGTTGGGTCAGAAAATGGCGAAGGGGTTCGGCAAAGTGGTCTGCAATTTGCAATTTAGTCCGCGACAGTTGCTGGCGAGAGGTTTGGTGTCCTATATTGCATAATTTGAGAAGTGGGTATGTTTTTGTGTCAATAGACTTTGTGTGTAAATGT